AAAAAGACTTCAAAAGAGCATGCTAATGGTAGGTAAAGACATTCTTTATCTACACTTTACAACACTTTACATTCATGATAAAACTACTGAAAATTTTTACTATTACTACTAAAGTATCGATAAAAAAATAAGTTGGTTTTTTTATCGTCTCCACCCCCCCAAATAAGTGTGCTCAAGAGTGTAGGAACAAAGATTATAAATTCTTCAGAAGCCATCAGAAAATATTCCTGCTTAGCTACTAATAAAGGCGGTTTTTATGGTATTTTAGTTTGCTCAGACCCCTCATCAATACCACAATTTAATAAAAAAATATTTCCTTTTAGTGCTGAAGCTTAAGAATTACTTATAACTTTTTTACATGTAGATTTAGAGACAATAAATAATTTAAAAAACACCGTTTTAATTTACTTATAAATGAAATGTATTATTTGAAATGCTTTTCTTCACTTAAGGAAATTTTAATTCTTCTAAAAATAAATTGCATTGTAAAAACTAAAACGGTGACTTATTTAATTAATTATTTACTATAAACTCCTTGGTATGTAGAAATCGTTAATTAATTTAAAAATATTGATAACATCATATTGGATAAAAAATATTACGTAAATAAGAAAATATTAATGATATAATATCAATAACTTTTCCATGAGGTTTAAGACCCCCATTTACATACATTTTCTTCTGCCAGTTTTTGGACAAAAACGGCTGTTTTTCCACTGTGCGCCGGCGCTTTATGCTGGAAACCCATTTGGCCTACGCCACGCCACCCTACGCTACGCGACGTTTTGTTATGCAGAAATTTAACACAGGTTTCAATGCAATACGTGTGATGGTAGGCAACCCAAAATACACAGTGACGTCAGAGGGACGCCAATCCTTGTAAAGTCGAGCACGCTTGTATAGTGAGTAATAAATGTTATTTAAACACTTTTGTGCTATTATTTTATAACTTGGTAGTTATAAAACATGGTGTCAGGTTACTAAAGTGCTTTTGGTACAATCTAGACAATAGTAAGTTCGCTAGTGAACGAGACAAAGTTGACCTAACCTAGAAAAAATGGAGAGTTTATTTCGGCCCCCGGAGCCCCTTGTTGTTGATGGAAACATAGCCGATAATTGGAAAAGATTTAGTCAAAAACTTGATGTATTCATGAAGGCGTCTGGACAGGATAAAAAACCAGAGGAAACAAAGGTAGCTGTTTTCCTTAATCTCATCGGAGATGATGGACTCGAACTGTATAATAGCTTTACGTTTACGGCTGAGGAATTACAATCACTAGACAGTATTAAAGCCAAATTTCAGCAATACTGCTCACCACAAGAAAACGTAATTTTTGAACGGTTTAAGTTCAACAGCATAGGCCAAAAAGAAGGTCAAACATTTGACAGTTTCCTAACTGAGTTAAGAAAAGCGGTGAAAACTACCGGATACACCCAGGCAGACGAGATGATTAGAGACCGTGTGGTCATGGGTGTTTATGATAAAAATACCCAAGAGAGGCTGCTTAGAGAGCCAAAGCTAACGTTAACCAAAGCAATCGATTTTTGTAGAGCCACTGAGGCCAGTAAAGCTCAGTCGAAGATTTTGCAGAGTGAATTGCAAGTGAATGCAATTAAAGGCAAACAGAATAGTTACAAGAAAAGTGGTATGACTAGTAATAAAACTACGAGTGCAAGCAGTAATTCAAGTCATGGCCAAAGTGTGTGCAAATTTTGTGGCTATAAACACATACAAAATGGAAAATGCCCAGCGTATGGTAAAACATGTGCAGCTTGTCAGGGGAGAAATCATTTTGCAGCGATGTGTTCTGAGAGAGGTTCCAAGAAGCCACAAGAAAAGTCTAGTGAGAGAACAGGACAACAAGAAAAAAAATCATGGAGAAAGGCTGTGCATGAGTTGGAGGAAAAGCGAACAAGTGAAGACAGAGATGGTGACAGCATGAGTGAAAGTGAGTCATTCTATGTAAATTCATTGTGTCGAGTGAGTTCAGTGGAGTCACAAAAGGTGAATAAAGTATTTAGAAATGAGAAGGACAATGCTGTGGAGAGAGATTGGAGACAAGTTGTGCAGGTGGAGAATAAAAATCAGGTAGAATTTAAACTAGATACAGGTGCAGAAGTAAGTGTTTTGCCTCTTCATGTATTTAGAAATTTAAAAGTTAGTTCTAGTTTAAAACCAACCAAAGTAACACTTGTATCATATGGTTGTAACAGTTTCAGAATTAAACCTCAAGGTGAAGTTAGTTTGTCTTGTGAGGTCAACAGCCATAAGGCAATTCTTGATTTTCTAGTGGTTGACATCACTGGCCAACTACCTTTGCTTGGGTTAACAGCTTGTGTAAAATTAAACCTGATTAAAAGACTAGCTAGTATTAGTCCAGAACTTGGTGTTAATTTTAAGACTCTTGAAGATGTAAAACAGATGTATGCTAAGGTTTTTGATGGTTTGGGCCAGTTTCCAACTGAGCATCATATTTCCTTAAAAAAAGATGCCATTCCACACATTCAGCCTCCCAGGAGGGTTCCAAGAACATTGCATGATAGATTAAAGTCAAAGTTAGAGCAACTTGAAGCTCAAGAAGTCATTAAAAAAATTGAGGAACCAACTGAGTGGCTGAATCCTTTGGTTATAGTCGAAAAAAGTAATGGGGATCTAAGATTGTGTCTGGACCCTAAACATTTGAATAAGGTAATTCAGCGTGAGCATTTTTTGATTCCAACGTCTGAGGAGATAGCTGTCAAATTATGTAATAAAGAATATTTTTCAGTACTTGATATGAAAGACGGTTATTTTCAAATAAAAATTGACAATCAAAGTTCAAAGTATACAGCTTTTGGCACGCCATTTGGGCGATTTAGATTTTTGCGCTTGCCTTTTGGTATTTGTTCCGCGCCTGAGGTCTTTCAGAGAAAAAATTATGAAATCTTTGGGGACTTGGACGGCATAGGGATTTATTTTGATGATTTAATAATTACAGGAAGAAATGAGTTTGAACATGATCGTAATTTACAGTTAGTGCTTGAACGTGCTCTTAAATATAATATTAAATTTAATTCTTCAAAAATTCAGTTTAAATCTAAAAGTGTAAAATTTATGGGACAAATTTACTCAAAGGCGGGAGTAGAACCAAATAAAAATTATGTTAAAGCAATTCTTGATTTGCCACAGCCAAAAAACAAAAATGAGTTATTGACAGTCCTTGGCATGGCAAAGTATTTAGGTAAATTTGTGCCAAATATGTCGAAAATTACTGCTCCACTAAGAGAGTTGACAAGACTGGATTGTGTTTGGAGTTGGCAGGAAATCCATGAACAATCACTTTTTCAACACAAACAACTTTTGACATCCGCGCCGGTGCTAAGGTTCTTTGATTCAAAAAAGGAAATTGAAATAGAGACGGATGCATCAAAAGATGGACTTGGTGCCTGCCTTTTGCAGGAGGGACACCCTGTGGCATTCGCGTCAAGAAGTCTCACTTCAACTGAGCAAAAGTACGCGCAAATCGAAAAAGAAATGCTGGCTATTGTGTTCGCGATCCAAAAATTCCATTTCTTTATTTATGGTTTAAAAATTAAAGTAAATTCAGATCATAAGCCTCTTGAAACAATCATAAAAAAAGATTTAGCCACTATTTCCCCGCGTTTACAACGAATGAGACTTAGACTACTTAATTATGACTTAAACATACATTATAAGCCAGGAAAATACCTTTACATTGCAGATACGTTATCGCGCGCCTATCTTTTAGAAGAAGGGTTAAAATCAAATAGGGAATTTAATTTTGCGGTGCATTCTGTCATACAGAATATACCTATGTCTGATGATAGAAAATTACAGTTTAAAAAAGAAATTCAAGAAGATTTGAGCTTAAAGCTTGTTTCTAATTTTTGCATAAAGGGCTGGCCAGAAAAGAAAAATGATTTACCTGAGTTTACACGTCATTACCATAAAATTAAAGAAAATCTTACGTTTTCAGATGGCTTATTACTTTGTAATGACAAACTTGTGGTACCTACTAGTTTACGCCGTGAAATGTTAACACTTTTACATGAGGGCCACATTGGGATAGAAAAGTGTAAAAATAGAGCGCGACAAATTTTTTACTGGCCGGGTTTAAACAACGATACAGAGACATTCATAAAGAAATGCAAACCTTGTGAAGCAAATGCTCGGAAGCAACAAAAAGAGTCCTTGCATTCCTATATTGTTCCTGAACGGCCTTGGGAAAGGTTAGGACTCGACATCTTTACATATGCTGATAAGAGTTATCTAGTTGCTATAGATTCTTACTCTAATTGGCTGGAGTTGCGCCACATTAAAGATAAATCAATAAAGTCAGTTATTAAGTGCCTGAAAAATATTTTTTCAGTTTTTGGGTCACCAGATGTTGTATCTTGTGACAATGTGCCATTTGATAGTTTTGATTTTAAAAATTTTGCCAGGGACTGGAATTTTAAAGTACTCACCAGAAGCCCAAATTATCCACGCTCCAATGGTCTTGCGGAAAAGGGGGTGGGAATAAGCAAAAGTATTGTAAAAAAAGCAATTAAAGGGAAAGAGGAAATTGAGTATGCTTTGTTACAGTATAGAAACTCACCTCTTAAAAATATGGGTTATTCCCCCTCCCAACTTCTTATGAGTAGAATATGTAAAACGAAAATACCTATTAGTTCTAATTTGTTAAAACCACGTTTATGTGAAAATGTGGCTCAAAAGTTAGATAATAAGCAAACTATTTCCAAACAGTATTTTAATAGAAATTCCAAAGATTTAGTTCCTTTAAAACCTAACACTGACATAACTATGTATAACCATGTTGAGAAGAAGTGGGAACCAGGATTGCTAAGTTATAAAACAATACGTACTCACTTGTCCCATGCCACCCTACACCATGCCACCTGACGTCGAACGACTTTTCGAAAATCAAATTGTTTTGAATTTTGAAGAGACGTGTGGACGCGTGTTGTCCCCCTCCAGTTTTCAAACATGGATTAACAAATTATTGAAAAAGTGCGTTCATATGAGTTCCTGTACAATCAACATTAAAGAAATTTTGTTTTTTATTTATAATAATAGCAACAGCACACTCCTCTAGTTCACATTCCCATTCATCAGATGAAGTACTACTTGCACACTCCATTTTCTTTACCAAAATAAACAATACTAATACCAATTAGTATTATTAGTTATTATATTATTATTAATATATATTATTATTATTATTACTTATTAATAACTATAGTTATATATAAATTTTATTATTATTTCATAATTTCGTAAAGCAATTTTATTTTATATGTTTGTCAAAAGACGTGGCGTGGGCCAAGTGGGTTCTTAGCTTTAGGTTATACTTTACAAATTTATATTTTACCTACAATTTATATCCTTTATCATCAATGGGCTAGATAATTTGTATTTTAAATAGATTTATTATTACTTTTTATAACAAAAATTTAAAGTTAAGATTAAAATGGTAATTATACGAATCAAGCGTCCTCGCGACTCGTTAGACTTTTTTTTGGTAAATACATTAACAGTAGTACAAACAATTATTCAATCATTTTAATTATTTGTATAATTTTAATATAATTACAATAAATATTAATTATTATAACATACCTACATATCTTGTATTGAAAGCTGACGAAATATAACTAAATCGAGAAGGCCGTTCCCAGTCAACCTGAATAATGTTAAAATCTCCATTAATTAGGTATTCAGTGGTCATATTTTTATACCAAAGTCTTTTATGATTTTCAATATATCCATGAATAATAAACTTAAAAGGTTTAGATGTATTCAGCACTTCTGTTAGAGTATAATTTACTTTTATCCCGGATAAATTCTTTGTATATAAGTAAAAACTTACATCACTTTCATGTACATCATTTGGACGTCTTTGTGTTGTATCCTGGACCAATTTTACTAAATCTGGTAAAGATAAATCTTTAATATCTTCTAAAAGAGCTACAAAAATATTAATTATAATTAATAAATATATATAATATAATTAATACATACATTTATTATTATTATTTACGTATATGCAAATTTTTATATTAATTTACTATGTGTACAAATTTTTATCAATATTTTGTTATTATGTAAGTATTTTTGTAATTTTTGTATTTACTTTTTCTGTATTTATTTATATGTTTTCCTTGTACATTTACATGAAATAAATTTATTATTATTATTACTATATTAAGTATTAAAACCAAAAATAATTGAAAGTTGCGTTTTATTACAAAAAAATTATTTCAAAACTTAAATTTTTCAATCTTTATATGAATGCTCGGTATTTTTCGCGAATTGTTTTATTTACCTACCATTCGTAACGTTTTACATGGTTTATTAGCCCAGTCATTAAAACCAAAAATAATTGAAAGTTGCGTTTTATTACAAAAAAATTATTTCAAAACTTTAATTTTTCAATCTTTATATGAATGCTCGGTATTTTTCGCGAATTGTTTTATTTAGGTACCATTCGTAACGTTTTACATGGTTTATTAGCCCAGTCATTCTATGCTTTAAATTAGAATATCTAAAACGAAAACTTTTTCGATTTTTAATGAACTCAAAAGTGGAAACATATTTTGAGTCTGCGTTCTCCGCTATCTTTATTTTTATGGGTAAGTTTTTGTCAAACAACGTAGAAAAAATATATTTTTTCACTTCAGGTAAAAACTCAAACAAAAGTAGACAAGAAAATTAGCTACAATTTTGTTTTAACCTCTTTCAACCAACCCACATTAACAATCCAACAACAAAAATAACTACATGGTCCATAAGAATTATGTCATCTGAATACGACAACCCCAATATAACAAAAAAACATGTTTTTGATAGTTAAATTTGGTTCATTTCTGTTAAAAATAAGAAAATAGGTGAAATAGGTAAAACTACACTAGTTTAGGTAGTAAAATGTAAAAATTAGGTCCATTTCTCTTGAAAATAAAAATTTAGGTAAAATATGTAAAATAAAATCAGGCTCAAATTAAATCTTTTTCTTCAAAACGTATTTTATTCCTTTGCATCTAAAGTTATGATTAGCGTAGACAAATAGGTAATAACGCTAAAATCCCATCTCTATTAATTATGCATAATTTATTTAATATTAATTTTTTTATTCCTTTTGTAATATGCTAGTTATTTATATACTTATTTATTTTCAGGTATTTAAATCATTTTTCTTATCACCTAAATAAAGAGTTTACCAGAAAATGGTTAAGCATTTAAAAAGACTGAAATCCTATATAAATTGCCGCATTTCGGGCTCAGAAAATAAGAACGGCATCATTGAGAAGCTAATGCACCCACAACAAGTGACTTTTTGGTGCGGATTTTGGCACGGTGGCATTATTGGGCCATTTTTCTTTAAAAATGATCAAGGGGCCACCGTTACGGTCAATGGCGAGCGTTACCGTGCCATGCGTAACAAATTTTTGTTCCCAATAGGACGGCGCAACTTGCCACACAGCCAACGTAACAATCGAACTTTTGAACACTGTTTTCGATCAGCCGAAGTCCGTATAACTAACTAATAATATTGAGATCACAATCCACACAATGTGTGGATTGTGATTGAGATATAATTCAACATGAAGTGCGTCTCCACTTAAGATAATTTAGTACAGGTCGATAGAATCACCAACACAAAAACTTTGTTAGGATAAAATAAACTTAATATAAACTGAAAATGTAAAATAAACATAAATTACAAAGCTGATGAATAATGTAGTACAGTAGGAACATCCCAGTCCCCGAACAATTTTGGAAGTACCTACCTACCTATTCTGAAAATAATATTTAATAACTTAACAAAAATGTGGTACTAACCTCACTTCTTAACACAAATTAAAAGTGCAAACTGATTATGCAGATTGCAGCTGAGCGACCGGCCGGCGTCTTATTTGAAGCGGGAAATTATTTCATTGGTTATCTTAGATGGTATTATTGTGAAGGTTAGGTACTTCATACCCCAACAAATTGTCCAATATTGTAAAACTAATATTCTAACTCAAAAATATACTATATTTATGAAAATTATTTAAAAAAATTGTACAATAGAGTAGATAACATTTATTTTTCAAATATTTTTGATAACAGGTTTCAAGTCCATTCTTGACAATATTGTGCAAATGGTTAAATATAAAATCATACTGTTTTCAACAAATTATAGAATATCGACCCAGTGGCGGACTAAACCCGTCGAGGGCCCGGCGCGGTAAAATAAAATGGAGCCTCTAGTCTTCTTATGAAATAATGTGATTGTTTTGTAAATATTAATCTTTTTTGTAAATATTAAGCTTTTTCCAGCGAACTTAAGTATACTTATATTTGAACTTGTTAATAATTTAAATTTTAAAAATCAAGGGGCCCACTTATGGCAGTCTAAGATGAAATATTATTTAATGTAATTATAACCTTTTTTCTAATTCCTGATGGATTGCAGCTAGGGGCTCCCGAGAGCAAAATATTAAAAATCTTTTTTAGTTTTGACTTTATATTTTGTTTTTTTTTTCATAGCATGTTTTTCTTTAGAAACTTGAAATCTCCGGGGTATTTTTTTCAGTTTATATTTTATGGTAAAGCTGGATCCTGAAATATTTATACCTTTACTAGGGTTTTAAAGTGTCGAAAAAAAACGATAAAATTGGGGAAAACAGGCCTTAAAAATGGCTTTTTTTGTGAAAAATTGTTTTTTTTTAAATAAATTTGAAAAAAATAGCACAACTTAACATTAATTTAATTTAAAAATAATATAAAATAAAATAAAAGTAAACTTTGAATTAAATTAAATTGATTTAATTCAATGTTTAGTTTTATTTTTTTTTAATTCAATTAATGTTGTTGTTGATTGCTACTTTATTCATCGACGAAAATTCACTTTTTCCTCGATATCAGTATACGGATAGTACCTACAATGTAGGTCCTACATATCTGTAAAATTTTGTAAATTTTTAGAAAAATTTACTTTTGCATTTTTTCCAATTACTCTTTGAATAAAATGAGAGAAAAACAAGTCAATTTTTGTGAAAACTTCCCAATTCTTTTCCAGGATAAAACCGTTTTTTTCGGCTCAATTTTTCCGAAAATTTTAAAACCCTAAATTTTAGATTTAGTTTTTTGTTGGACTGAGAAAGACTATTCAAGATTTGGGGGCCCTTCTAGACCGGGGGCCCGGGGCGAACCGCCCCCACCACCCCCCCTACCTAAACAAGTTAATTAGAAAACCCAATCCAACTATCTTGGATAATGTAACAAATTTATAGAAAATTATGCTCCAACGGCAGGTTGCAATTAGACTTTTATTGCGTTTTTGATATATCAATAAATATTATTAATTATTATTTTTATAATTTATCTAACTTACATACAGGGTGTCCCAGAACTCGCGCCACATAGAAAACCGGAACGTGCCGAAAGTAACGTGAAACACATATTTGAAAATTAAAATTGTCTAACGCAAAGGATAAGCGAGATAAGAATAAAAAACGATAGCCAATCCCAATAGATGGCCATAGGGAATTCTTTAAATTGCTAGGATACTTAGGTTGCATTGTTAATAATAAAAAATATGTAAAATATTTGGTCCACTGGAATCCAATTCATTGTGACACTGCTGTCAAACTCCTGTCATTAATATTATATTAGGTTATAAATTAAGTTATTATAAATAATGTTTTCCTTAGATGATTATACTGAAATGATAATTATTTATTTATTTAGTGTGGGCGCAACGCCAGGGAGACAACGCGAGTTTTTTCCCAGCTCTTTCCTAATCGTTATTTTAAAACATTGGCGTTCTGAAGTATAAGTCATATATTAATAACCTCATTTTTGAAAGCTTTTGACAACTTAGTAATTATAGTTGGCTAAAAGATTTTTAAATGTTTTTAATACAACAATGTTCTATCGTCTCCTAGCAATTTTTAAAGCTCTAACGTTTAACCTAGGCGAGAGCTCTCGGTATTGGCTGCCGCTTTTTTGCTCTCATTCGATTACACTATTAGCTAGAAATTTTTTATTTTTAAATTTGGCATCTCCATTGCTATCGGCACGCCCCCTTTTTCTCTGTGGCGCGAGTTCTGGGACACCCTGTATATATCTTAAAGCGTATTTTATGTATCTGTAACTACACAAAGAACATCCGTTTGAAAAAAATTGCACAAAGTTTTATTTTTTATATATTATAAGAGAGGAATATATATATATATATATATATACTGTCCGTTCAGGCTAAGTTGAGCGGTCTAAGGAATGTCACCCCGTCCATCATCTCTGTGTTTAGGCACAATTAAATACATGTATTTCGGTAACCGCTCTGTACGAACAAACGGCAAGCCGCGGCACTGATAAATCATCTTCTTGTTACCTAAATCTCGCGACGATTCGACGTTTAATTTAATTAACGGCCACATGATCCCCCACCAAAGCGCTCAACTTAGCCTGAACGGACTGTATATATATATATATATATATTAGGGTGGCCCAAAAAAAAAGAATATTTTTTTTTCTTCTCGTCTCTTGTGAAAATATGTTGGTTTGTCATGTTTTAAGAGCCCTGTCAAAAGATCAGCACCATTAAAATTTAGGGGTCGCTCAAGATTTTTAAAAATTACCAAAATCGTCAAAAATTGGATTTTTTTTTATTTTAATTTTTTTTCTCGTTGCGATATTATTTTTTAATTTAAAAATAATAATGATTCTGAAAATTTCAAATCGATATTTTAATTTCTAAAGGTCGCTCAAGATTTTTTTAACTTTCAAAGTAGAGTATTTTGAATGTTTACGAGCGACCTCTGAATATAAATATCAACGAACTTTTAGCGACCTTTAGAAATCAAAATATTGATTTGAAATTTACAGAATTTTTATTATTTTAAACCTAAAAAATAATATCGAGACGAGAAAAAGAATTAAAATAGAACAAAAATTCAATTTTTAACGATTTTGATATTTTTTAGAAATCTTGAGCGACCCCTACAAAATTTTTAATCGAGCTGATATTTTGAAAGGGCTCTTAAAACATGACAAACCAACATATTTTCACAAGAGACGAGAAGAAAAAAATTATTCTTTTTTTTTGGGCCACCCTAATATATATATATATATATAAATATATAAATTGATTAAAAATTATACAACAAGTCCTTTAAATGTCATTCAAATAGGTGGCAAATCTGCAAAATGTGCCATGATGACATGGGCCATTTTGGTCTTAAAAAAACATTAGCTAAAATTCAAGAAAACTATTGGTTTGCTGGCATAAACATTTCTGACCAAATACGTAAAGGAGTGTCCAAATTGTATATATATTAATGCCCATCCGGCAAAAAACCCAAACTCGGGGAAATGTCTCATTGAAAAAGTTTGTCACTTGTCATTTCACATGGTTCACCATCATCTTGATGATTTGGGTTCATTTATTAAAACAAAATCAAAAAAACCCAGTTGTGGGTGATAGTTGACTGACAGATTTACAAAGTTTTGTATCATTGAGCCACCGAACACCAAAGCGAAGTACGTAATTCGCGCGCTGCAAAGTATGATATATATATATACAGGGTGTTATGTAATTAATGTTGTATATTAAAATACTGAATACCTTTTGACATAAGGAGGAAAGGAAAAATATTTAAAAAAATATTTTTCTAAAGATAAAGAAAAAATAAGTTTTTTATATTTTTTGTGATACGCCACTGGTTACACACTTGGTTTATCTCTGCACACTTGTGTTCTGTGAGTACATAGATACCAACCAACAAACTAGCTGCGCGTTGCTAGATTGTTACTAAAAATTGTTCTTGCAAAAAATAAATAAAAACTTAATAAATACAAAAGTTTTATGCCCTTAAAGCTCTAATACCCTTCTGTATTTATTTACTCATCAAGCTATTATCTTAAGCAATGATTAGAAAATTTAGTACCTATTTAAAAAAATCCATAACCACAAAATTAATTTTTTTATCGGTTTTTTTCTTTCTGTTTACTCAGATGAAATCCGGACCAGTTCACAGGTTAAACTTTAAACATTTAATTTGTGTAAATAAATCCAAAAGCACTTCCCTTAGTTAAGATATTTACAATTTGAGCACATAACCTAAAATTTGAAAGAAATGCACTAGATTCTGTCATAAAAGTTGGCAGATTTTGTTTGAATTTACCTTCAGTACAAAAATGACATAACCAACAATTAATAAAAACGCCAAATTGACAATTTGCATTGTTAATTTTGTCATTTTTGTAATTAAGCTAAATTTAAACAATGTTTGGCAACTTTTTTGACAGTTTGGAAACGCTGTAACAGGGTGATGCAATTTTCATAATGTTCAATTTTTTTAACGGACAAGGTGTAAAGTGATTCCATTGGGGTAATAAATAACTGTGGAATTTTTGTGAAGTTTTAAAAAAACTTTTAGAGGTGGCGACGGCAGCGTTACCATTTTCTGTCAAAAAAATGTACTAGATTTTGTTTAAATATACCTTAATTAATTACAATAATGACATAATCAACAATAATTAAATAACGTCAAATTGACATTTTGCATTGTATCATTATATCATTTTTTATTTAACAATTATTTAACAAGTTAGCAATTAAATACCTAAACCAAATATGACCGGTATATCGACAAGAAATAAAACAAATATTTGGCTAATTGGCCAACCAACTCCGCATTTAAGCCAAGTAAAACTAACTTCCACTGGTGAAGTGATGTCATTGTTTTTCCATTACAAACAAACATTGAAACAAACGGTTAGAGACGCTTCGCATTTAACTGCTGGTAAGGTCATTAAATTCTGGGAAAAGGCTAACATACCCACAAAACTAAAAAAAGATGTTGTTAGTAAAGTTAAGGGAGTTTTTAAGACCTGGAAGAACTTAATAAAGAACAAAAATAAAAAGTCAGAGATCTTACTTCAGAAGCGGAATGACTGGACAAAGTCACTGAAACAACTATTTGACATAGCACACGCAAATGCGATGAATCTAATCTCTAGACAGGAAGATAAGAAATTTTTAGAAGCTCAGAGAGAAACTGAAAGGAGGGGTTATATCGGAACTGTAGACCAGAAAGCGACAAAATTAATTAGACATGCACAAAAAAGGCTCGAGGAGAATAACAAAAGAAAATTGTTGGAAGTGAAATATAAAGAATCTGAGCAAGATGTACTTTCACTTAATAACGATCCTTGCTGTTCGTACTCTATTAAAAAAACCAAAATGTGATAATAAGATTACTAACATTATGAACGAAAAGTTATCCACAAGTTTGGATGCTGCGAAATTAAGTGAAAGAAAGTCAGCATTGGTTTTAACTGCGGTAGTCCAAGCAATTGGGCAAGATCCAGAAAAATTTAATATAAGTTATTCTGCAATAAGAAGAAATCGAAACAAAAATAGGAAAAGAATTGCTATAGGTCTTAAGAATAAGTTTAAGCCCAATGTTCTGCTAACCGTTCATTGGGATGGAAAAATGTTGGAAGATATAACTGGAAAAACTGTGGTGGACCGCCTTCCAATAATAGTTTCAGGAGAAGGTGTAGCTCAACTTTTAGGGGTTCCAAAATTGCCAAATGGAACAGGAAAGTCAATTGCAACTGCAGTCTACGATGCTACATTAGCTTGGGAAATCAACAACAAAGTAAAATGTTTAGGGTTTGATACCACCTCGTGCAACACAGGAATGAACATTGGAGCGTGCACATTGATTGAACAGAAAATGAAAAAGGATTTGCTATGGCTAGCTTGCCGTCACCATATCCTGGAAATAATGCTGGAAGCTGTTGTAATTAAATGTATTGGTCGATCTAGTGGTCCTGATATTTTATTATTTAAAAGGTTTAAAAAATCATGGCATATAATTTGTAAAGATGATTTCCAAACTTTAAGTAGTTTACCGGCTGGTAGTACTGCTACCCTTTCAGAAGATAATGATTTTCTAGTTAGCTTTTGCCGCAAACAACTCGAGGTGTTTCAGCCCCGGGATGATTATAAGGAGCTTCTGGAGCTATCAATTATTTTTCTTGGGGATATCCCTCTCAAAGGAATTAGTTTTAAAGCTCCTGCTGGTTTACATAGAGCCAGGTGGATGGCAAAATGTATTTATTCACTAAAAATTTTTATGTTCAGATCCCAAGTAAAATTAACCAATAATGAATTTAATGGAATATTACAAATTTGCTTGTTTACGGTGCAATTGTATATTCAAGCACAAAGCGCTATTTCGGCTCCAAGATATGACTTACAACTTTAAAAAAAAAATAAGCAGTATAAAAATAAAACAATAGCAAAGGTTGCTTTAAAAAAGATTATGGGTCATTTATGGTATTTATCAGAAGAGTTGATAGCCCTTGCCTTTTTTGATAAAGAAGTTTCTGAAGAAACTAAGAAACAAATGGTTTTAGCATTAGAACGTAAAGGGGACAAAAAGATTTTGAAAAGGATTCAACTTGATGATGACAAAATACTGACAAAAAATCTACAAGATTTTGTCACATCAAATACTAAACGTTTTTTATGATATGATATTCTTGATCTTCCTTCAAATTTTCTGCAGATGGATGTATCGAAATGGAAACATGATAATGATATCGCTGAAAGGGCCGTGGCTTTAATGGATGAATACAACAAACTGCATACGACTGACGAAGAACAAAAACAGTTCTTATTGCTTACAATCCAAAACTTTAGACAACGCAAGGGATCTTCAAATTTTAATAAAAGTACATTAGGGCAACTATAATAGTGATTATTTTGAAGATACTATCGATTAATTTAAGTATGTTAATTTTCTTTTTATATCTTACCAAATAAACTGTTCATTACATATACACATCTTTCTTTAGAATATCGCCACCAATAATACTCGTTTTTTTAAAATAAAATTTTAGCTAATTTTTTCTCACTAAAAGGCATACTTCTAGCACTTGTCCTGTATTAATTTGCAACAAAAAATATTTTGGCTGTAGATTTGCATCACCCTACGCTGTTGTTACCAACCATAACATAATAAATTAAATTAGGCAACCAGATTAGCCTAGTAGATCAGTGGCATACTTTTTGGTAGGATAAAGGTTATTATAAATTATTTTTAGTCTTTGGAATTTAGAAAAAAAAAGTTTCAGGTGCTTCTTTATGGACCATAAGGAACAACCCATTTTAATATATAACATTAATTACATAACACCCTGTATATACATATGTACATATATACATATGTATATATATATATAAATATATATATATATATATATTAGGGTGTGCCAAAAAACCTCGATATTTTTTTTTCTTGCTCTCCACCCAAAATATCGTAGAATATGTCCGAACAAATATTCTGTTAAAAGCGGAGCTCATAATTTCAATTTTAAGAGGTCCTCCATCGAATCTGAAGTTTTGCCGCTTAAATAACACAGAAAACTGACTTTTTTACCTTATTTATTCTTGCAACCTAGGAAGAAATTTTTTTTCATAAAAACCATGACCAAATCTTACAAAGCATTAAATTTGGAAGAAAAAATCTTATTAAGCCGAATTTCTATTTTCATTATTTGATTTTTTACAGAGCTTTAAATTTAAAATTTTACGTTTTTTTGCCTTTTTCAGCTAAACTATTTAAGTTAGACGAAAAAGTCAAATGGCAATTTTTTAGCTTGTCTGATGGACCACAAAAAAGTTTTAGGCGAATTTTTTGTATCGTCAATATTCTTAAAGTTACAGGCGTATAAAGTCATCATTTTTGTATTATTAACTTTAAATTTAAAGCTCTGTAAAAAATCAAATATTGAAAATAGAAATTCAGCTTAATAAGATTTTTTTGTCCAAATTTAATGCTTTGTAAGAATTAGTCATGGATTTTATGAAAAAAAAATTTCTTCCTAGGTTGCAAGAATAAATAAGGTAAAAAAGTCAGTTTTCTGTGTTATTTAAGCGGCAAAACTTCAGATTCGATGGAGGACCTCTTAAAATTGAAATTATGAGCTCCGCTTTTAACAGAATATTTGTTCGGACATATTCTACGATATTTTGGGTTGAGAGCAAGAAAAAGAAAATATCTAGGTTTTTTGGCACACCCTAATTTTTATATATATATATATATATATATATATATATATATATATATATATATATATATATATATATATATATATATATATATATATATATATATATATATATATATATATATATATATATATATATATATACGAAATCTTCAAAAAAAGAAAAAAAATGCACATTTGACTATGCTGAAAAAACAATATGCCTTAAGGACAACAAAACAGGGTTTTAGGTTTTATGAAGCTAAACCTTGCCAAAGCTTAAAGCCTATAAATTGATTTACAGCGTTTGATAAGAAGGAAATCACCATATTTTTTGAAGCAAGTGCATGCAAATTATAATCTAAAGTCAGATAGGATTTTCAACACTAACGAGACCGGATTCTCAACTATACCATGAAAGTGCTTTTAGCCCATCGGTAATTTTTGTGCCACCAATGTTTATATATGAAAGAAAACGGATAAATCCACAGCTCCACAAAGGGGGCCTTTTAGGAGCTCATTATGCTTTTTCCGATAAAGGACTAAAGACCTTTTCAAGGCATTTTTAACTATTTGTTAAAGCCAGCCTGGAGGATTCTGTTTTTATAATAATGGATTACCATTTAACGCTTTTAACTCTGCAAACTTGTAATTTTTTAAAAGCCAATGGTAAAATATTTTTAATTCTACCTCCATATACTTTGCATCCCATAAAAACATTAGATGTAAGTTTTTATGGCCCTCTTAAAACAGCCTACAATTCAGAATGCAGCAAATATTTGAAGTTGCTCCGGAAATAGTATATTACACTACAAGGGCAGAAAGTGTGAGATTCCTGCTCTGCGCGCCATGATGCCCGAGGCGAATCCGAGGGCATCATGGCGCGCAGTTCAGGGCTCTCACACTTTCTGCCCGTGTAGTGTATACTATTTTTCTTACTACCTCGGCCGAAAATACAACCCGGCCGAAAATACGGGAAAAAATTAAATGTGTATATCGAAACATATTGATGCCTGCCCAAATTTTGAGGTTATATTAGTGTCGTAATCAGAGTGGCATATGTTGAGCACACGACTATAGTATATTACACTACAAGGGCAGAAAGTGTGAGATTCCTGCACTGCGCGCCATGATGCCCGAGGCGAAGCCGAGGGCATCATGGCGCGCAGTTCAGGACTCTCACACTTTCTGCCCGTGTAGTGTATACTATTTTTCTTGCTACCCCGCAGAAAATACGGGAAAAAATTAAATGTATATAAAAAACCTTGTGTCAAAATTAAAATCTGACGTTTAATTTAATTCTGACGTTTACATTCAAAATCAATCAAACTGTAGCGTTGTCATGGTAATTCAGCGGTGCCAATACAGTAAAAATAAAAGGTTGTATTTTAATTAACAAATTACTACTTAATAACAAATAAAAGTACCATTAAACACTTAAAACAACATAAAAAGTAAAAAAGTAAAAACATAAATTGTTTATTTGTTGTTATAATTGCAAAATTATGGTTTAAAACTGTCATATTTTTGTGTTTCTCATGTTGGCAGTACGAAATTTGAATGTTAAGCACACGACTAAAAAATTTTTACTCCCGCTATTAGAGTGTGCGCGTATAGCTTGACCAATGCAAGAAACGTAAACTTTCTGCCGTGAAATCGGGGACGAAACAACGTATTTTGAGTCGAGGTAGTAAGAATAGTATATTACACTACAAGGGCAGAAAATGTGAGATTCCTGCACTGCGCGCCATGATGCCCGAGGCGAAGCCGAGGGCATCATGGCGCGCAGTTCAGGACTCTCACACTTTCTGCCCGTGTAGTGTATACTATTTTTCTTGCTACCCCGCAGAAAATACGGGAAAAAATGAAATGTATATAAAAAACCTTGTGTCAAAATTAAAATCTGACGTTTAATTTAATTCTGACGTTTACATTCAAAATCAATCAAACTGTAGCGTTGTCATGGTAATTCAGCGGTGCCAATACAGTAAAAATAAAAGGTTGTATTTTAATTAACAAATTACTACTTTATAACAAATAAAAGTACCATTAAACACTTAAAACAACATAAAAAGTAAAAAAGTAAAAACATAAATTGTTTATTTGTTGTTATAATTGCAAAATTATGGTTTAAAACTGTCATATTTTTGTGTTTCTCATGTTGGCAGTACGAAATTTGAATGTTAAGCACACGACTAAAAAATTTTTACTCCCGCTATTAGAGTGTGCGCGTATAGCTTGACCAATGCAAGAAACGTAAACTTTCTGCCGTGAAATCGGGGACGAAACAACGTATTTTGAGTCGAGGTAGTAAGAAAAAAATATTTTTACTTCCGCTATTATAGAGTGTGCGCGTAAGAAACGTAAACTTTCTGCCGTGAAATCGGGGACGAAACAACGTATTTTCAGTCGAGGTAGTAAGAAAAAGCCATTAAAAGCTTTGGAGTTACATAAATATTTCCCCATAATTTAGATGTTTTTTTAAAGATATATCCTAGATAGCATTTGGAAATGTATATGGGACCGCATTTTGCTCCAGGCTCACTCATTTAGTCAGAATACGCTCATTGTACACTCACGAATGCAGGGTATTTTATATGAGCCCGAATTGTACCAGCACGACGTGCAAAATATTGTAAAATCATCATGCACGAGTCTATATTTTAAGTCAATTGTGGATTCATGCAACCACGTATTGTTAAAGAACGCGTGCGGGTACTATGTAGGTAGAATAAACTTTTAAATGTTATCTGGGATGTGGAAAAGATAAGAAAATTTAAATTTGCAAAAACTGTTATTCCAATTCCAAAGGGAAAACCGCATGATTGCCGCAAGGGTTTACGGACTAAGAATTTTGAACAACTTGCAAATTTATCAAATTCACCCCAAAGTTTAAAGAGAAGTTTGCTTCAACCATTATTAACTAAAAAAAACGGAACTGCTTCTAGTGGTAGTATTCACCTGGCAACAGATACAAGAAAAAATAAACTTTTTGAACTATAAAAAAATCACCACCTACTATCGACAATACTTTCTCTATAGAAGATTTATTGAAAATGCAGCAAAAAATAAATCTACAAGTACAAACAATACCGTAAAGTTGGCATCGTTTTTACATAAATTAAAATTAAAAAGTGGTCAAAAAGTTACTCAAAATTATGTTAAGGCAAAACTACAAGAAAAAATGCATTTGGAGACAAATATTTTAGTACCATATGAGCGAATTTGGAAAATGGGAAGGAAAACAGGCACGAAAATATTCAAAGAGACATTACGACATTTTGTCATTTTTTATTTTATTTTTTAAAGGAAGAAGATGTGAAGCTTTTGAAAAATGGCCTCGATGGAGGAGGTGGCTTTTTTAAAATATGTTTAAATATCCAGACGAAAGAAGTTGTCAGTCATGTTAGCCTAAAAGATTCTGGGGTCAAAAATTTGTTATATTGGCTATTGTTAAAAATATTTAAAAAAATTCCACACCTGTAATTTTTAACCAATCAAAATGTGTATTTTTGACAGATCACCATGGCAAAGGATGAATTTTAGTGGAATTTTTTTTTCTCGTGGGTACCCAACAGCGAATTATACTGAAAATTTTTTTGACGTTTATAATGGCAGAATATTTTTTTGACAATCTGGTTTTTATTTGTTTACATGATCATTTTAATACTTTTCAATTACAGAGCTATATTCTTTGAACACCTCCTTTCTTCTTAATGGCGAAAATGCAGGACTTGGAATGGAATGTCTAATAAAATATATATAATATTTAGACACTATTCTATTCACCTTTTTTCCATTTAGGACTTTGAATTTTGAATAGTTTATATGCCAATATTCGTGAACAATTCAAAACAAATTTTATAGAAGTTTATTTAAATATAAGTGATTACAAGTAATAATAAATCTAATTATTTATATTATTTTCACTATTATAATTATTGTTTATATGAAAAACGCAATTATTATAAACTATGGCAGGTTGATTGGAAGTAGTTGCTTGTTCTTGATTTAGAGATTCTTTAATTATCTTTGCAGAAGTTGATACAGACCTCATTGCGTCAATTATATCCTGATGATGGCCCGAATCTATTTGCAGATATGGTTTTATGGAGTGGCTGCTACCATGCCCTGTTATTTTAATTAATTGCTGTTCTCCAATTCCCGTTTTGGCTAAAGTTGAAATAGCAGTGGCCCTTGCAGAATGATTTGTTATCTTGATCTTATTGACATCGATTCCAATCAATGATGCCGCCGATTTGAACCAGGAAGATATTGTATTTTGTCCAGCCGGGCTGTTCTTGTACCAGCCTTTGGAATTGGGGTGCTGCCAGTTTGGATTTGAAGTTAAAAATAAACGGTTCGTTTTGATGAGGTGGCCTCGCTTGCTTGTTAGTTTTTTGAACAGTCTAACTGGGTATATTTCTTCATTGAGTTTATTCGGTACTAGCCACTTACTGTCAGCCATTTTTTTTAACCGCCTTAAGTGGTCTTGGAGAAAACCGGGTTATACTCAATGCGGCCTGTTGGTTTCCCTTGATTGTCAATTTCCTCCACAAAATATTCTATTGTTGCTGCCGCTCCTTCATTTCCTCTCCAGGCCAATTCATGAGCAGAAATTTGAAAGAACTTTCTTTGCAATCCTTCCGGAGTGTTTTCGTCCCAAAGCTCAATAATCTTTCTCAACTCGTCTGCTAATAGTGCGAATGGATTAAATTTGCGATTATACCTTTCGAAAAAATATTCCTGCAACTGCTTTTCTGTGGAGTTCCATAAAAATTTGATAACACTCTCCTTGTATTCTTCGGATTTCTTCTTTCGCATGTTGTACCCATAGTCTTCAAGAATAAGCGCCAGTTTTTCTACAGGTATATCCGCTCTGTAGAAATCATACAATTTTTCTGCGCAAAAGTTTGTAAACTGCTTCCATACGCTTGACTTCGATTTCCTAGTATTCGCGGGTGTCGCTTCTTGACCGAAGCGAAACATTTTTTTACGTCGTGCCGCTTGACAGCTTCAAAACTGAAATAACTTTTAGGTTGGGGTTGACTTAGTTGCCATGGTAACTAAATAATCAAGTCGAGGTCAAGTTAAATCAAAAAATTTTAATTATTTAAACACAATTTGGTGTGGAATTTTCTTACCGAATACCACACGAGGTCAAATTAAATCCAGAAATTTTTTCTCCCTCATGAATATTTTTAGAAAATTATCCCTCGTCTTCGACTCGGGATAATTTTCAAAATAGTTCGAAAAAATTTCCGGAAATAATTTGACCTCTAGTGGTATTACTAGTGAAAATTATTTTAATGTGTCATATATTTGAAACATTGATGTACTGGAAAATATAGTATTTCAACGGATCTAAAATTGGTAAATATTTTGATGGGCATTATGTTGCACAGCTCCGCTTTTCCCTGTACATGGTGCCAAGCATTCGAGATCATTATTTAAGCCGGACTAAAAATAGAAGTGACCCGAAGAAATCCAAGAATTTTTTTAATTGCATCCATGAACCCATTCCTCAAAAATTTATCAAACCCATGTTCCTAGTATGCTTACCTTTTTATTTTATTTTATTTAACACGTTATGTTATTTTTGTTAGGTACTGTACACCAAGCTGTTAAAAGCAACTCCAGAGGTATTCAATCAGTGGACAACTCTTTGTCACGTTCAAAGCAGTGGCGGATCTGGAAGGCTTGGGTAGGTGAGGCGAAAAAAAAAATTGTATACATACCTACATATATATTTAGTTATTACAAGTAAAAAAAAACAATATACAAAATAATCACACATATTTTAAAACTTATAAACTAAATCCATACTTCTATTTTTCATTAACATAAATTTATTAATAACGTTTTCATAAAATTCATTTTCCTTTTTTTTTTAATTAATTTGTTTACAATAGATTTTTCAATTGAAATTATAGCTAAATTCGACAACTTTTCTTGTTTTATTGTATTTCTTAAATATGTTTTAATTCTTTTTAAACAAGAAAAATGTCTTTCTACAGACACACTGGCCATAGGTATGGTATAAATTAATTTTAGAAGTGCAGTGGTTTGCGGAAATACATCCATTAATTCGTTTTCTAATATTTTTCTACAGAACACATAAATTGGTCATCACTATAGATAATTGTTAATTCTGTTTTTAAAGCACTTTTTTTGTTTTCAAAATCTTTGTAATTATGACATAATTCTGTAAGTAAATCACTGGGAAATTTAGTCTTAAAGGTTTTAAAATTTTTATGATTTACCAATTCTAAAAATTTTTCTGTCATTTGCATAATTATATTATCAATAATTTCAAAAAATAAAACTTTTAAATTTTCATTACCTTTTTGTTTAAAAGCAATATTTATTTCTACCTTTTCTTTGGCGTTGTCTAATAAATTTGTCACTTTATTTTTAATATTAAGAAACTCTTCATCAGACCTTATTTGTTTTAAATTGTCTATACAATTACAAATTTTTTCTTTACAAAAATTAATATCCAAAGCTTTTTTTTGTAAAATTTCAAAAAGTATGTTGGTTTTTGAAAATATATTTGAAAAAGAAAACAACAAAAATACAAATTCATAATCTAAAAGACTTTTTAAAAAACCTCTGGCTCCATTAATAGAGGCTGCACTGCAGGTTTTATCATCAATTATTTTTTGAAAAACAGGAATAAACTCTAAGTAATTATCGAAAAGTAAAGTTATAATTTTTGACCGTGATGCCCACCGTGTTTTCGTAAACGCTGGTATTCTTTTTCCTACTAAATTGTCAACAAAAAACGTGCGTTTGGCTGATTGATGGAAATAATTAGGTATGCCAGTAAGAGTAGCAAAAAAAACCCTGCACTCTTTTATAGCTTTGCAACTATCTTGCAATACTAAATTAAGTTTATGAGCTGAGCAATGGATAAAAAGGGCTTGTGGAGCTTCTTTTTTAATTTTTGCTTGCAAACCATTTAAATGTCCTGCCATAACACTGGCCCCATCGTAGCACTGTGCCACAAGCTTTTGTTTGTAGTTGTAAGGGGCTAAATTAGTTGACACTAAATCAAACAAAGCGTCAGCAGTTCCATTTTCACTTACATCAAAAAAACCCAAAAAGCGCTCATAAATAATTAAATTGTCTTTACCTAAATATCGTAGCGATATAGCGCACTGGGATTTTTCAGTTATATCTGTAGTGTCATCCACAATTACCGAGAAAAAATCTGTTTCTTTTATTTCATTGGAAATAACGTCCCTTACCACTTCACTTACACAAAGTATTAAATCATTTTGGATTGTTTTGGAAGAAAATGATTTTCCAAGATTTGCGATATGTTTGGTCATTTCTTCATTGTCCTTGATTTTAAAATTAAAAATTTCTATAAAATTGCCTCTATTTTCGCTATACTCATTTTCGCGATGGCCACGAAATGATAATTCTTGTTTTGCCAATAAAATTGTTGTATCAATAAGGATATTCAATAGCACTCTATTTTTTCTAACTTTTTCATTATAGACCGACTTGCAAAATAAAGAATTTTCTTGAATTAAATCTTTAAGAGTGGGCATGTTTTTTACCAACCGTTTAAAATTCATAAAACATGTCATGTGATTTGCGGATGTGGCATGTTTTTGACAAGATCTTGATAAATTCTTTAAATCATAAAACCCTTCTGTCGCCCAAACTGACTTAGTTCTTGAAAGAAGTAAACACGGCCAACAGAAAAGTTTTTGACAGTAAAAACTTCCACATAACCAGGGATGGGTATCATACCAAGTGGTTTGAAAAGAACGAAAGAAGCTTGAACCTTGAAAATAAATATTATTGTTATAAAGGGAATTATCGTTTATTTTTTTAAACAATTTCTTTTTATACCTTTCAATAAATAACACTTAAAAAATAGTGTAGCTGCAGCACTGTAGCAGCCAATTTCTATTTTAATTATATTTTTTGTAATTAATTTAATAAAAAATAAAAACGTTAATAATGTATGGATATCCCTGCTTAAAATACCCCATAGAGACCCTGTTCAAACCGATAGATATTTGTATCGGGATGTATGGTGTTTCTATAGGGTGTATCGGTTTGTATAGGACCCGTAGTTGAGATTTATGGTTGTTCTATAGGGATATCCACCATTGATTTATTTGCTATCGGTTTCAATGGGGAAAATACACATACATGTAGAAATTAGTTTTTTCCCTATAGGACCCTATAGGTTTTAATAAAATTTTGTCAAATGTTTTATGGTTGCTCTATAGGGATATCCCTATATATCCTTCATTGAGTTATTTTCTATCGGTCTCAATAGGGAAAATGTAAAAGTTATGGTGTGCCTATAGGTAATTTCCTATACATTTTCTATCGGGCTGTATCCGGAAAAACCCATGGACAAATGCACATATAGAATCCGGTAGCGCCCGATAGATTATTTTGTATAGGTCTCTATGGGGTATTTTAAGCAGGGATTTCTTAAATTTTATTTAAATTGTAAGCTGGTTCAAATCTAAACATTCGCTATGTATTTAATAAAAGCATTTTAATTAATAACTGGCCTACATTTTTTTACAAAATATTATGCTGGTTGCTTTTTATATCCCTTGGTATTATCAGCATAAGTAATAATCAAAATATAGCATTCATAAATATTTCCCTCGCAAATAGTTTGCAACTTATATCGTTCCAAATTAACTACACGGAGAGAACTGTTGGATTATGTTTAAACATAAAAGTTTGGGAATCATTACTAAACACAAAAGCTCTTTTAAAATATCCAAGCTGTCCCTTAATTTACTCGATTTTTTGGTATGATTTTTAATACTAGGTAGGTTCGTATGATAAACAAAATTTTCGATAAACATTCAAGAATACAAAAGTCGATCTAAAAAATTTAGCTTATAGAATAACCTATATAAATGCCCTAAATAATAACTTCAGAAATTGATTGATTTGTACAAGACACCCGAAATCTAACTTTATGTAGGTATTAATACAATTACCTATGTAATCAATCATAAATTTTAACTTACCCACTCTTTGATCTTTTAACACTTCACTTAGGACCGGCTCTGGCCTTCCACTTACGAAAATATCCCGCCTTTCTAAATCGTTTCTTCTTGAAAAGGGTACTTCTTTTAAGGACAAAATTACGTCGTAATATGGACCAAACATTTCTTATAAAACGATTTAACACAAGCCTTTTGGATTTAATCAAGCAAAACTTTCGTGTCACGTGCCGTTAATTGCAACCACAAAACAAAGCAAACAGCTGATCCAACGAAGTTACTTCGGGACCCGAAGTTCGGGTGTAGTCGTCTAGTAAGCGATTTACGACGGTGCCTCTCCAAAACGGGCATGGACGAATCAAACGACGGCGCTCTTAGCTGTGCAATTCAGCCAGGATCGACGTTTAGAGGCGAGGAATTTTATAGCTGACCAGTGCATAAAAAGTATTCCAGTTCGTGAATTTTGTTGCGTTGCGATTAGGACCGTAAACATTTTTGTCAGAAAAGCCATAAGTTTATTTCATTTATTCATTATTTTTAAAAAAATTATCATTATAGAAAACCAATTGATTTGTCCAAAACTCTAGGTGAGGCGTCGCCTCCCTTGCCTCACCTTCAAATCCGCCACTGGTTCAAAGGGAGGCCATGCATGGGGGGTCCTTTACAGGAAATTAATTTAAAAATTATTAAAAAATTTGAATTATTTGAAAGAAAATCTACCAAAAAATTTGCTGCCGTATATGACTTGCCTTAAAACTTTCAACAATGTGACGAATAGTACTTTTAGCTTAGATCCAAATTATAAAGAGCAAATAAATTAAATAAATTTATTTTCTGAATTTGGAATTAAAACAACGCCAAAAATACATGCAGTGTTTTTTCACGTTCAATAATGTTAAAAGAAAAAAATTGAAAAAATATTATTAAAAAGTTAGGCGTTCATTCGGCGGGAACCCGCAGAGTTCTCACTTGATCATCATAATTTGTAAAAAAAAATAATTTTGCATATATATATATATACATATACAGGGTGTTTCTTTTAACTTGAGACAGCTCAATATCTCGAGAAATACGCATTTCACGGAAAAATGTCTTAAAAGGTTAATGTGACTAAAGGGGACATTATTTGGTGCTACCGCTAGCCACCCCCTACCCCTCCTTAAGGGTGAAACGGGGGGTAACTTTGGAAAGTCAAATGGAATGACCAGATTTTTTTCACAGAGTTTGGTAGTACATAAAAAAATAAATATCTTTTATTTAAAACTTTTTTCAATTTATCAACAGATGGCGCTGTAATTCAAAATTTAAGAAAAATGAGTTTCCTTGTAAAATGTATTATTTGAAACGTTTGAAAAACAAAAATTAACATTAACAACAATAGTCGGCTATGAAAACAATTTATAACAAATGTTCGAAATGTCGTCATTCCATTTCAACACATTTTTGAATGCGGGTAATGAATTCTGGCACACAACGCGCCAACATGTCGGGCGGTATCGCCGCACAGGCGTTCCTGATCCGCTCCACCATGTCCTCCCAAGTTGTAGGAATTGCAGCGTAAACTTTTTCTTTCAAGTAACCCCACTGGAAGAAGTCTGGTGGCGTAAGATCAGGTGATCGAGCAGGCCAAATTACTGGAGCACGTCTACCGATCCACCGCGGTGCACCGGCCATTGAACTCCCGATCCAACCTCTCGAGCAATTGCCGAATAATGTGCAGGACAACCATCTTGCTGGTACCACATGTTTTGGAGCCGTGCTAGTGGTACATCCTCCAAAAGGTCCGTCAGATCGTTTTCTAAAAAATTCCGGTACTTTTCGCCATTTAATGCACCGTCAATAAAGAAGGGTCCGATTAATCGTTCGCTTAAAGGCGGGCACTGACTTGCAACTGAACGTTGTAATGTAATGTAATGTAACACGAACATTCGATAGTCAGTGCCTATAAACGAGCGCGAAGCGAACGCGAACGGCGAGCGGCGAACGGAGCATCCGTGCTCCACTTGAGTGTCGGTTTTTTAGCGAATCCCTTTGATTGTTACATTACAAGTCAGTGCGCGCCATTTCGGAACTGACTAAATGGAGCACTGTTGAACAGAGCATTCAAAATGAGCATTCGCGGAACCAAGAAAACGATCTGAGCTCGAGCGTTGTAATGTAATGCTCGCCTTGAGCATTACATTACAAAGCTCGGCTTAAGTCAGTGCCCGCCTTAAGGTACCGCACCAAACGTTTACCGACCAGGGACGCTGGTGCTCCACTTGGTGTTGAAATGGAAGGACGACATTTCGAACATTTGTTATAAATTGTTTTCAGAGCCGACTATTGTTGATTTAATGTTAATTTTTGTTTTTCAAACGTTTCAAATAATACATTTTACAAGGAAACCCCTTTTTCTTAAATTTTGAATTACAGCGCCATCTGTTGATAAATTGAAAAAAACTTTCATATAAAAGTTATTCATTTTTTTATGTACTACCAAAATCTGTGAAAAAAATCGGGTCATAACTTTTGACTTTCCAAAGTTACCCCCCGTTTCACACTTAAGGAGGGGTAGGGGGTGGCTAGCGGTAGCACCAAATAATGTCCCCTTTGGTCACATTAACCTTTTATTTAAGATATTTTTCCGTGAAATGCATATTTCTCGAGATATTGAGCTGTCTCAAGTTAAAAGAAACACCCTGTATATACAGGGTGCAGCAAAAAGGTTGACTCATTTTCAAAGGGTCATTGTTCGCCTCGTTGGGGGGATGCCATTTTCTGAAACTGTCAGAAATATTTGGGATGTCAATAAAAATCAAACTAAGAAAAAAACATTTTATTTTTAGGAAACACAAATTATTTCATACATTTCATGTTTTAAAAATAATGTCTTTTAAATGACCGCCGTTATTGTCAATGCACATTTGAAGCCTATTACGACAGCTCGTCATTGTTCTGCGCGCCATGTCTTGCAGAATTGCGTTGATGTCTTGCCTTATTGCCTTTAGATTTTTCAAATTTTGTGGACGATGTTTAAAAACTTGCAAGGGGTCAAATCATGCGAACGCGGAGGCCACCCAATATCACCCCGCAAACAGACAACTTTGCCCGGACATTTTATTAAAAAAAAACTCTTTCTTTGATTCTTAGTTTGATTTTTATTGACATCCAAAATATTTCTGACAGATTTATTATGACGACTGAAAATGGCATGCACGTACCAACCTAAAGCGACCACGCGCACTGCTCTACCCCCCCACGAGTCAAGCAATGACCCTTTAAAAATGGGGCAACCTTTTTGCCGCACCCTGTACATATATATAAAGATATCTTGCGTAAAATTTGAATTGTAAAAAAACCAATATTCACTATATTAAAAATAGAGGGCGGCCTATAGGGCGCCCTCTAATTTTAATGTAATGAATATTGGCTAATTTTACAATTTAAATTTTACGCTAGATATCTTAGACTATGTCAGCGTAGCACTTATGGATATTCTTTTTTTATATTTTAAATCTCACGCTCTTCCCGCACAGTCCGGTTTTGTTTCATTTGTTCAATTCTTTTTTTATTGTTCCGTGTGTTGTCTTTGTCCGTCAGCAAAGTAGCTGTATTCACTTAACCTGTGTTTTTACCGTACGTGTTTTGACAAGTATACTTATAAGTGAATTTATTCAACCTTGAATTAGTTTTAAAAGTTTAAAAATAATGAAAGCATCTTCACTGAGAGGACGAAATATTTGTTAATAACGAGGCACGTTAACTATTAACATATCGTTGAGTTGGATATGGCGAAAGAAATATTAATTTGGGTCTAAGAACTGGTTAAGTTGAATTAAAGAAGCTCATAATTATGAGCTTCTTTAATTCAACTTAACCGTTATAACGTATTAGCAAATGTAGATATATTAACTGTTAATATATCGAAATTTCATTTTGTAAAAAACTACGGCAACGTCACATGCTTGCGCATATTGCATTTAAAATTATGTTGACAAATGTTAAAACGTTTTATTCGAATTTAGGTATATTAACTGTTAATATATCACAGTTCTAAGACAACTTTACCCTTTATTTGTCTGAAACACCATTACTGGACGATATTATAATAATTAGTATATAATTTGTTCACGATTAAGAAATTTTTTAATAGTTAACATATATTTTAAAAAAATCGCAACTGTTTTGATTTCTTAATAATAAATATTTCGTTTTCTCAGTGTTTAATGTAATTTAACGGTATTAAATTTGCACTTCCATTACACATAGAAATAATTTTTTTTCATTAGTTGTAGCAAAATTATGTCCGAGCCAGTTAAAAGAAAGAAAAGTGGAGCTGAAAATCGCTTTCAAAACCGACAACAATAAACTCTCCAGAATTCGAAAATATTTGTAAGTAAACAAAATGGAATTGGACAAAATTTTTTAATAGAAAGAAAATGATTTTCTCGAAAGAAAAACCTGACATTTCCCGAATTATTTACCTTCCAAAATATTCCAGAATCATTAAATGATATTGTCAAAACAGCCTCAAAATTGGACGATTCACAATTATCAAAAATCAAGAATTCAGAAGCTGTAGCTCCGTCAGAAAGCATTTTTCGATACATGTTTTTTTAAACAAATTAGTATTTTCTTTCTATGCAGATTGCACTTTGTAAGTTTTTCGCCTTAACCAAAATAAATATTATGATAACATATAATATTTAACAATAAATTTTATAATTTTAAACATAATCAATTTTAACTTAAAATTTTATATTATAATTATAGTACATTTCACTTTATAAAACTATTTTTTTGCTTACCTGCAGTAATAAGAAGCCAAAGTAAAAACAAACACGACAGCATCGTTTACTAATACCTTGCATACTAAACACAAATATTTAAATTCTAAAAAAATATAGTTAGTTATTTTATATAATTTTATTAAATTGCCCAATTATTTTTTTCTAATGGTAATTTTAAAATGACTTATAATAAATTATTAAATAGGCTACAAAAATTGGTCTTCCATAATAGGTACACTCAGAGAAATATCAAGTTATGAAAAGCATATGAAATTATATTAATTTAAATAATCGGGTAAATTTGATTCAAAAAGAAAAATTTGTAGTTTTATATTCATTTACCAACAGTTTTACAATTTTTTGAAACACTTTTAAAGTGTACCCTCTTTAAAATATATATACAAAAAGAAATCCATTTATTTCATTGACTTTCTCAAAGTTGTTTCAAAAAGATATGTATTATACAATTGTTATGCACCTATTAATTTAATGGGAAACACCAATGACGCCAAAACATATTTGAATCCCTTTGAATTATTATCGTTTTGAATGATTTTACAACATTTTTTCTCTCAGTGTAGGTGCACATACGTATTTAAAACTAAAAACAAATATTTTATCATGAGTAAGTTCTTAAATTTACTTAGATTACAGGTCTATTGTGTACAGGGTGATCCACATTATCAAAAACTTTAAAATGGTGTTTATTGAAATTTAAAATAAATTGAAATAATCATTTTTCATTGTTTATTCTCGATGATACACAATGAATGGTTTAATTGATAATGATAAAATTACATTACATTATTATATTTGCGTGGAGGGGGATCGCAACTGCGCCCTTTAATAATTCAACAACTTAAAAATAAAAGAATAGGTACACATAA